TTTCCGCCGCAACAAATCTAGTGGCTGAAAATGTATCATCAATCGTAGTATGCAAACAGATATTTCAACTTAACGATTCTACTGAGTAAGTCTCCCTAACCATTGGATTTATACCATTCATTTCAACTGTTACGGTATCTAAAAAGCAAATAAAACAGTTTGCTGGGAAAACCATCACTAATGATTCAGACAAACTCTGTTGAAAAGACCATGCAGAGAAACAGCGTTTGGAGGGTGTACACCTCTGTTCTGTTTGCATCGTCCCGACACAAGTAATAATCTATCCGCCTGTAAAGCTATTGTTGAATGTGATCGATGGCACCGCCTCATGGATTCTTTTGAGGGAGGGGGGGGGTGTGTGTGGCAATTTGCAACTGTTGACGGGGTTGGGGACGAGCCAAAACCATACTCAACAAACAAGGAAAATAGACTATCACGTATTATACTAAAGACCCTGAGACGCCACTGCATCATTCGGTCCTTTCTAAAAGTGCGCGTTTTCNGACATTGAATATTTGATATCTGACAAAAATAATCTTGATGCACTGTCTGGTTTGTCTTTGTCACGTTCCACACATGCACGCTGACCTAAGTTCCAACGGAATCTGCTGATTAAAGCTAGTGGAAGCATCGCAATGATCGGTCGACGAGCAGACGCACAAAGAGGATAACTGTGACGTCAACTTCCGAAACAAGAAAATAACTTCAAAAAGACTGGTGATACAAATGAAGTGAATCCGCTCTCGGTTGTCATTAAATTCTGTTCATTTCTCTTAATGATGTGTTCGTATCGGCCTTTGGGTTTTGTTTCAAGTGTTGCCCGAATCAGAAAAGTGAAAAGTCAACTACGACAAACTGAGCACGGTACAGTAGCAAGGACGAAAACGCCAGTGCAACTGTTTATGTGGCCTCAACAATGGTTGTTAATGATAAAAACAACAATCTTCCTTTTTTTTAATAGGTCAAACTCAGAACAAAAGAGACGAGATCTGAAACGCTCCGTACGACTGTTCTGACCTTGTTGAATCTTATCGGCAATGCGATCCAACTGAGGGTTGAACCAGCGAACTTGTAGGTGGAATGCGTACTACACTTTCAGTTTCGTTTTGTTCTTTCTGTGCGACGAAATTCATTATGCAATTGAAATAAATCCTCCACATTTTTGGTCATGAATACATAATTGCACAATCAATAAGTAGCAAAGGAGTCAAGACCAGCCAAAGGCCTGATATGGAGTAAAAAGGCAAGTTAGACAGAGACGATGGTGGGATTCTGGGCATGTGATAAACTCCATCGTTTGACCATCAGTGTCGATGAAAATATCATTAGTAATACTGTAACTGTCCGGTGAGACGGTTATGGGATGCACAAATAGAAATAGCAAAACATTCTGTTCTGTCGGCATACGTATCACTAAATTTTGTTTGACTTCAGTATCTGATGAAAGCCGAATTCATACCCAGGAGTTACGTAATTCTGACAACAGCGGAGACCTAGCCTGTTGGAATTATGAAGTCGGAATTGTGCAAAAATTGTAACGTAAACAGCGAATATCTTATGAACGGGAAGACAGAATTTATTCGTTGCATTTTGAAAGAGCAAACTACAAACAAAATGTTCTTCCCATTAGAATGGTGTACATCAAGTTGTACGGTAGTTTGTTAAATTCCGTTGTTACTCTGTGATGTGTATTGCTGCATGTCTGGGCCATTCGGTGAACGCACTAATGACCATGTGAGATGAAACGGGTTCTATGCCCGAAAGCAAACACCAGTGTGAAAAATGTTGTTTACCCGTTGAAAGCCATGACGACCAAGAACGAAAACAACAACACGGAACAAAACTGAACGAAAATAACAAGAGCATACGTGAACCTTCTATTTCTATTGATTTTAACCAAGGTAGACAATACTTTTATTCTGATAATAATAATAATGATAAGAAACCTCTTCCACAATAAACGCGAGCGCACACGGAGGATGAACAGATTAAGACGCCATGTCATCGAGACTCGGTGTTAGATTAAACCAACGATACTCTGATATCAAGTTGTGTATGAGCTATAACCGGATCGGCGGACAGTAAACCGCTTGGTCATACACGGACCGCTGATTCAGTGCCCATACCAACAGTCTGGTAGTTCAGAACTCAGACCAAAAGTTTTGGGAAACTCATGCCAACATTGTATCATAAAAAGGCACACGTTACGATTGACATGTAGGCCCGAAATCAAAGTATGGATTGAGAACAGGTACGCGCGCGCAGTTTTTCCATTTTGTTTCACTTAAACGATGAACAGTATTTGATTAACCTGGATCGGGCAATAACCCTAAACTCTCTCTCT